CAGATTCCAAAGTTTTCAGGAGAATTTTAACTTGCGTAAGGCCCAGGTCACCTGTGATGTAGGCCGATGAAGTGATCCTTTATGTTTTGTGTGTTTTTTTTTTTAACGGGGGAATAAAACATTCGACAGAAAAAGTCACCCTGAGCAATGCAACAGCAAGGACCAGAACGACCACAGGTGTAACAATGCGTGATGGGGATAGTCACCACTTGCAACACACTATCCACGTAGGTGACAGCGAGGTCCGCAGGCATCGAGCTGGTGAGACAAGGCACATCCCGCGCCTCCGGGGTGCCACTGACCTAATCCTCTCGGCAAAGAGCCCCAGGTGACACCGTGTGCACCGCGGGAGGGAGGAAGGGAGGGATGTTATGCAGGTTCCCAGGATGACACACCGCAAGGTTTCAGGGCGCGACCAGCTCGCTGCGGGGCCCACGGGGTTGTGTTTGTTTACCCCGCGCCGCCTGGAAGGAGGCCGGGCAGCTACAATGGACACCAAACGAATAGCAGAGAGGAGAACAGGGGGTAGACGCCACCGAACAGATGGGTAGGAGAGGTCGGCGCCCGGCCCCGGGGCAGCTGCCCCGACCCAGGCGTCATTTTTGTGTTGCTGTATCTTGTTATCACTGATGTAATAACACACTGATATGCCATTTCTCCCAAAATGAAAGCTTTTTTTCTTCTTCAATTAATGTTGGTGACTAACGTTGTTTTGTGGCTGTTCACATATTTCCCAGTTTTTAAATAAAAACTCACATAGGGTTAAAGAAAATACTCCAGTTAATTTTGGTTGGTTCTTGATTAGCTGATGTGTGATGGCTGGCAGACAGCAGCCCTGGGTGGCCAGATCTGGCCATCCCACTGCCTTCTGGAAGCCACATTTGCATCACCTTTGTACCAGTCGGATTCTAGCCAGCCACTGTCATTCCCTGGAGGACAGGAAAACAGGGCTTTCCTTATGAATTTGGCAAAGAATTGTAGATTGCAAGCAGGGGGTTATTGGGAATGTTCTGTCAACCACAAGTAAACAGCAGCCCTTTCCTTGGATGAGTTGAGATAGGGCTTAGGCGAGGCTGGTTTCCATTAATGTATAGCTTATGGAAGAAAAAGCTGATGAAGAAACAGCAAATACTTACAGATTCATTCTCCTTAGAGTGAAAGTATATGATTGAAAAATCTTTATTATTCTTTTCTTACTCCCCCCGACAGCCCTGCCCCACGCATCCCCTCCCCCCCCGCCGCCGCAAATCCTCCTGAACCCATTTTACAGATGGGAAGACCGAGGTCGAGGGCCGGCGACCTGAGCGGAGCTCCCTGATGCTCCGCGGAGACCCAAGCCAGTGCTTTTCCATACAGTAGACGGGGGCGTGGGCTCATCTGGAACCAACCTCGGATTCCCCACTCCGTTTCCCGTGTTGCTTCTGGAAACCCACCTGTAGAATGCAAGTCAGGGAGCACCCAGAGCGGACAAACAGCCAGTGAGAGGAATGGGAAAAGTGGCGAGGGAAGACCGAGGGTTCTTCACGTCTGGTGAATTACTATTGTGAATAGGTTTTTTTTGTTTGTTTTGTTTTTTTTAAGACACCCACACCAAGGAGAATGGGTTTAGAGTGCTAGTGTTTAGAAACTCCCATGACTTCGTGGAGATTTTAAGGCATTTTTCATTATAGAAAATTGAGAAAATGCCGAAAAGTAAGACGAGGAAAACAAAAATCCCAAATTCTGCCGCTCAAAGAGATGATCATTTTAGTTTCCTTTCAGTCTTTATTCCTACTTTGTGTATTTGTTTTTATATTTATACTTTTTCCTCTTTCCCCTGTATATGTAATATGGTAGCCTTTTTTTTTTCACTTTATGTTCTGTTGCAAGCACTTATGTCATTACAAAATCCTTCACGTTTCCCACATTAAATATGTAACCTAATAAAAATTAACTGTCTAACTACGGCAAATAGCGGCATCTTTTTATAACGTAAGGTAGCTAAAGTTCTGTTATGGACTATGCACTGCTGCACTCAGGCAGGACCAGCCAGCCATTTAGTTCCTTTCCCTTCTGTAATCTACAGTTAGGGGGTAGGTGTGGCCAGGGAGGGGGAGAAAAAGTGCTGATTCTTAACAACCCAAAATATAATGTAGATTGTGAAATGTCTGTTTCCTTCAGGCACTCTTCCCATCCAAAATAATGGATCTGTTTTGTACATCAGAGAGCTGGTTTATAAGAGAAAATGTTGTGTTTAATAGATAGTGCCTAGAACTATGATGGGGAACAAAAGTCCTTTATAGACAATTACTGCCTCTCAAGCTACTGCTCTACCACCTTTTTCTTCCAAAGAGCTTTAATTTACTATCCTCATGTTCTAATTGACATTTACTTCTTAGAATACAACAATTTGGTTTCTACCTCCACCATCTATAATGATAAAAGCGTAATATGCTAATTAGACCTGACAGCCGAATGACCTTCTGGATGTCATTCGGGATGTCCTTCCTGAAAAAGTCGCCATGGCGGGGGCTGGGCAGAGGTGGTTAGGGGCAATCAGGCAGGCAGGCGAGCAGTTAGGGGTGATCAGGCAGTCAGGCAAGTGGTTAGGGGTGATCAGGCAGGCAGGCAGGTAAGCAGTTAGGAACCAGTGGTCCCAGATTGGAACCAAGGATTATCTATAATAATAAAAAGCATAATATGCTAATTAGACCAGACAGCTGAACGACCTTCTGGATGTCATTTCCGATGTCCTTCCGGATGAAGCTGCGGCAGCAGGGGCTGAGGCAGAGACAGTTAGGGGTGATCAGGCAGGTAGGCAATCAGTTAGGGGAGATCAGGTAGGCAGGCAGAGGGGTTAGGGGCGATCAGGCAGGCAGGCAAGCAGTTAGGGGCAATCAGGCAGGCAGGCCAGCAGTTAGGGGCGATGAGGCAGGCAGGAGAGCATTTAGGAGCCAGCGGTCCCGATTGCAAGAGGGATGTCCGAATGTTGGGATCAGGCCTGAGCCAGCAGTCAGACATCCCCGAGGGGTCCTGGATTGCGAGAAGGCGCAGGATGGGCTGAGGGACTCCTATCCCCCCCCTCCCCCCGCATGAATTTCATGCACCAGGCCTCTAGTTCATTAATAATTCCCATCAAATCCAATAGCTTCTTTTTGGCTAGCATCTTAGTAAGCATTTGACAACATTGACTATTTACTTCTTATTCTTCTTCCTTGGTGTTTATGATATAAAGTTCTTCCTTCCTGTTTGTTTCTTTTGGGCTCCTCTCTACCCAGCTCTTCCATGTTCCTGGCCACCATGCTTCCTTGCTCAGCTTCTTGCCTTCTATTTTCTCCATGCATTCTGGGAATTCTCATTCATGCTTACAGCTCAATTCCAAAATACTGCATATATGTTTATTTCCAGCTGTGTTCTGGATATCTCCTAAAGTCCAACTAGAGATCATCGTTTTTCCCACAAGACCTTCCCCTTTTATTTTATTTTAAAACTGATAACTGCATCATTGTTCACTCAGTTACTCAGGATTAGAAACCTTGGAGGTATCTCAACCATGCTTCTCTGTCAAGGAGTCACCAGTCCTACTGACGTTACAATTGAGATGTTTGGCATTCTAACCTCCCTCGTCACTCCTACTGCCATTGCTTTGAGCAGGTCTTTATCAGTACCTACCTGAACCATTGTTACAAGCGCCTTGTAATCATTCTTCCCAACTCTACGCTCTCTACACTTTAGATTACCTTCTATTCCCTTGTGTCACCACGGCCCCCACCCACCATTACTCCCCAGATGTGCACAGCAGCATTAAGGATGGCTAATGTTCTCACTCAAGTGTCAAATGTCTGGATCCTCCTCCCACTTAATACTTATATAGAAATAATCCACGCGCTCTTCACAGAGCCCCATTCGCTAGTATATCTTCGATGGTGGTGGTGGAGAGTTTCTCCACTTCTTGCTCTGATTTTTCTTTGAATTTGAATGTCATTCCTGTCATCGGACTTTTATTTCTTACCTGAACAAGGAGTACTGCCCCTCTTTTTTTTTTTTTTTAAGCAAAACCAGGGCTTCTAGATTGGGATATGAACATGGGAGAAACATCCTAATATTTTTTCCTTCTTATATTGGTCTCAAATGAATTTCAGACAGCTCTTGTTCTCAAGTGCTAGCTCAATAATGCTGATTTCTCTGAAATAAAAAGGATAATAGGCCAGTAGATTTTTGGAATGAATATTTTAACTTTTAGGTAAATAATTTGGTAGAGGCAGTGGTAATTATGGGTTAACCCCCAAATTAAAGCTACTAGCTATTCACTTATTTTTTCTTGTATATCTCTTGAAGAAATTACTAAAGTACTGTATGACATTTTATATTCTTATGTGACATGTAAAATGTTCTGCTTTCTGTGGCTCCAATTATTTTCCAACATGTTGCTTCTGAGTTATGCAGGGTTTCTCCCTTGACCCTGGAAATTAACTCATTGATTTGAAGTGATATATATTTTCAGACCAAACAGGGAAAAGTACTAGATTCCTTCCCTAACCTATACTTCCTAAGGAAAGGGATTTGGGGGTCTTGATTTTTAATCTGTCAAATGGAAAACTTTCCTCTTCCACTTGCCTTCAACCCAGTAATTGCTGGTCTGAAAGGCCATTGTATTTAGTGTTTGTCATAATAAAACAGCTCCCAGCAAAGGTCTATTCATTTTGTTACAGGACAGACCAGGATCACCTAAATATTTTCACATACAATTACTATTCTGACCTTCAACTTTTGGTAATAAAATAAATGCCGAGAGCTTAGAATGTACTTTTAAGAAATGCTTGAATAATCCGGCACATGACTAATCAAAGGCAAGGTTTGCTAGTCTAATCTTAACTTCAAGAGTAAAGGTATTTCTTTTAATTAATATGTATTTTTTACTCTGCCCACAAACCAATATTTAATAAGTAAATTTTGCTCAGCCATAGCAAAATTTATTTTTAATTTTCTTCAACTATTAATTTTGACATACTTTCAGTTATGAGACAGTTTCAACAAAATATTATAAAGAGTTTCTATGTAGTATTCTTCACCCAGTTTCTACAAATGCTATCTTCTGTTACCATAGCACCATTTTCAAAATAGGAAATTAACTTGACAAAGTAATCTCCAGACCTTATTCAAATTTTATCATGTCTTACTAATGTACTTTTTCTGCTCAGGATCCAATCCAAAATTTTGCATTGTATCTAATTTTCATTAGTATTTTTTTTCAATCTACCTTAGAAGAAGGGAGGGAGAGGAGAGAGAGAGAGAAAGAGAGCTAGAGTGAGAGAGAGATAAAGAGAGGGGAGGGAGAGAGAGAAACATATATGTGAGAGAGGAATATTAATTGGTTGCCTCCCAAACACACCCTGACTGGGAATCGAACCTGACACCTTTTGATGTACAGGGATGATGCTCCAACCAACCAACCAATCAAATGAGCCACACTGGCCAAGGCTGGTTAATTAGTATTTTTTAAAAAAATTTATCTTTATTGTTGAAAATATTACAGATGCTCCCTTCTTTCCCCCATTGACCCCCTCCACCCGGCTCCCCACCCCACCCCCCACCTTCACCACACTATTGTCAGTGTCCATGGGTTATGCCTATATACAAATATTTTTTGATTAATCTCTTCCCTAGCTCCACCCCCACCCCCGTCCTTCTGAGATTCACCAGTCCGTTCCATGCTACTATGTCTCTGGATCCATTTTGTTGATCAGTTTATGTTGTTCATTAGATTCCACATATGAGTGAGATCATGGGATACTTGTCTTTCTCTGACTGGCTTATTTTGCTTAGCATAATGCTCTCCAGGACCCTCCATGCTGTCTCAAAGGGTAAGAGATCCTTTTTGGTTCATTAGTCTTTAATCTGTGACCAGTCCTCAGTTTTTCTTTGTCTTTCTTTGACTTTTTGAAGAGTACTGGTCAAGTTTTTTGTTGTTGTTGTTGTTGGGTGTTTTGTTTTTTTTGGGTAGAATGTTGCTCAATTTGGATTTGTCTGACATTTCCTCATGACGACATTCAGGTTACACATTTTTGGCAAGAACATTTCAATGCTTCCTATCAGGAGGAAGGTAGTCACTGTGTTCCGTCACCGTGGTGCTTATTTCAATCCCTTAGTTAGGGTGGCATCTGCCGGGTTTAATCACTGTAAAGTTACTGTTCTCTTTAAAATCAATAAGCAGCTAATCAGGGGATCGTTTGAAATTATGGAAATATTCTGCTTTTCAGCATGCTTTTGCCTACTCCTGTTAGCGTACATTAATTGCCTCTCCCTGAAACAATTATTACTGTTGTGTCTGCCAAACGATGATTTTCTATTTTCATCATTCCTTCTACATGTATTAATTGGGATACTACTGTAGGAAAGAGTTTTTTATTCATTTGTTTGTTTATTTATTAAATTGGCATGCCTCTCGAGAGGCCATCACTTAGGAAAGGTTTTTGAATGAGACTTAACATGGTAACCTTCAGGTACTGTACTCTCCATACCACCCAATAGAACTGCTCCCTTTTGTGGTATCTGTGTAACTAAATTTTTTGAAGTGGGGGAGTGGTCTGGAAAAAAGTTCATGTGGTTTTTTGGAAAGGACCTAGGGAACATCTCTCACGATGAATCTGTTTGCAGCCACTGATGTATAACAGGGCCCAATATCTTTCCCAGAAAAAGATTCTGGACTCTGGGAAGCCATGCACAACATGTGTGATGGACTGGCCTCACGAGGGCCAGAGTTTTGAAAGAACCATGTGAGGCATGAGAACAATGGGACCTCCTTGTAAGAGAAAAAGGAGCCTGATCCAGCAGGTCAGACCCCGAAACAGAGCACGCGCGTCAGAGGGGTGTTGACTTTAGATCACTGCGGTAGAAGTTACCTCCACGGAGACCTCTGCCAGTAGGTATGACCCTTGGTAAAAGTGGCATAGTGTATTATTTAA